GTATTAACTAATACACTAAAGATCATGTTTAAATCAATAACGAATCTAACAAACCACTAAACTAAATAGAGATAGCTAATTAAATAAACCTAACTTGAAGCTCTAATTAATAAGAAATAACCAAAACAGAAAAAATAAATAAAAAAATAAAAAGAATCAGAAACTAATCTACTAAATAAAAAAAAATCAGAAATTAATTAAAGAGATAACGATTATACCTAACAAGTATGCTTGAAGCCGAAAAATAGCTAAAATGGGGGTTCGGGGTGGTCGCCGGAATTTGACCGGATTTTTAGTTGCCGGATTTTTGGGATGGAATTGACATCAATAGGTAGGTATTGATGAGCTCTATCCGTTGATGTAGGTATTGTGGGGGTGGTAGTGGCCGGAACTTCAAGATTTTGGGCAAAAACGTGGCGGCTAAAGTTTCTTAGATCTAAAATTCAAGGAGTTTGAGGGTTTTTTTGAAGGAATTGGTTTGGAGATATGGGAAGAGGAGGTTGTGGAGATTATATGGTGTTAATTTGGAGGTGGTCCGCCGCCGATGGGTGATTTCCGGCGGCGACGGCGGTGGAGAGAAGAGAGAGAGAGAAGAGAGAAGGAGTTATGGGTGAAATGAGGAAAATTTTCAGATTTTGAAGTTTTAAATACCTCTTGAGAGATCAAATACGGACCATTAGATCAATGAGTGATCAATAGGTGAGATTTGATCTTGGGTCACTTAATGAAACGATGTAGTTTTAAGGCAAAACTACGTCGTTCCGGACCCTTTCAAAGGCAGCCCCTTATCTTTCACTTTTGGCCACTTTCTCTTTCAAATTTGGCCCAATTTCTTTCTTAATCCTACTTATTAAACTAAATTTACACAAACAAACAAATTAATTAATTAACTTATTTAAATGATCAATTAACTAGATTAATTCACCAATTGAATAGTTAGTTAATTCCTAAAATGCACAAATAGAGAAAGAACTATTTTTTGGTATTTTTATGATAGGAAATATACAATCAAAGACACAAAAAATTGGGAAATATAATTAAAGCAACAAAACACTAATGACTTTAGGAGGTGTTAAAATAGTACAAAAATTAGGTATTCACATGGGTGGAGTAGGTGGATATTGTAACTATTTTCAAAATGGGTAAAAGCGGGTAAATATTTTGATTTTTATGGGTATATAGTGATGTTTCCCCTAAATTGATTTGAGATTTTTGACCGCAGCAGAGACTAAGTAATCCTTAATATGTTAGGGCGTCTCTCTTGTCTTACTATTTTAACGGTTATTGTCAGTTCAAGGTTTAACCTTCTTTTTAACCTCTTCTTTATCTGAAGAACTACTCCTAATACTTTTTATTTTCGTCTATTATCCTCACAAGTTTGAATAACTATTAAAACGATTAAATAAATACTTATGTTTAGGTAATATTTAGGACATTGAATTAGCTAAATTGCTTATTATTACATTTTTGTAATTTGAATTATGTAAGAGCTATTAGAAATCTAAATGGAATGTGATGTATCTAAATTTAAACCCATCTATAATCTCTATTAGTAAAAGTAAAATACGAGATATTTTGCGAATTGAATGTGGAAACATGTGATTGATATTCGGCGAAATTATGTTACTGTACATTTGCACAGGTTTAACCTACCGATAATTTAGCTAAAGACATAATAACAAATTAAAGGTCTTTGAGGGACGAACCGGTAATGTCTTTCTTTAAAACAAAATTTAGTTTGTTTGATCTAGTTTGTAAATTTGACAAACCGACAAAATTAACTGAGCTCTCTTTGACTAACCTTAACAAAGAATTTATGTGATCCACCAACCAAATTTCAAGATTTGGAGAATCCAATTCCTAACTGGTAATAACTTTATATTAACTTTCTCTTTGGTAGGTACTTAATGAAGGAGATATTATATAATATTATATATACATTGTAAAAAACTCATGTAAAATTCATAGTCTTTCTTTTGCTACAAAATATGGGTAAGGCTTCGATGACTGTGTTTTTGTTGGTTGTCTTCTTGATCGTTTCATGCGGTAAGTCTATTTCTTTTTCCCTCCTTTGTTTTGTCATAGGTGGAGCCAAAATTTAATGCTTTTGAGTTTTGAATACCCCTTGAAGTTATTGGGTTCTAAATTAATAATTTGTATATATTAAATAGATTTTTTAAGACATAAAACTTGAACTAAAGTTATTGGGTTCGGTAGAACCTGTTCCCCAATGCTAGCTCCGCCCCTGCATTCGACAATTTATATAATCAGGTTTTAAAGCTAGAAATTATATCTAAGTAAGATGCTAACGAGTTTTGTGATTTTCAGATGTTGTGACAGGTCGAAGGACATGTAAGACAACACAAGATTGTCAAATGGAACGTAGGAATGTGTTTCCAAGTTGTTATTGTGTGGATGGAGTTTGTGTATGCCGTAGACTGAAGACATACTCCATTGATGGTGAAGGAAATAGTGGTTTAGGTGGCAAGTATTAACCTTGCAATAGTCTTCGTAGTTAATCCTATTAATTATAAGAATTTTGTTTATAAATGTCTCATATGTAAGATGAAGACTATGATTAAAGGAGTATCGCAATATAAGATAATATTTACTTGTCAAAAATAAATGGCAATGATAATTAGTTAATTGAAATATGATCTGAAATTATTGTTTACTTGACAAAATAAAGGGCAATAAAATTAAGTTCGCTTTTAGCTACAATGGTGAATCAAGACATAATCATATGAGATAATTAATTACTAACTAGTATTAGTACCCGCGCGATGCGCGGACATAAACAATGCCAAATTATGATTTGAATTATTTGAACTATGTGGAAATAACCTTAAAATTGAACCTTCTATATAAATAATTATTATATATTAATTAAGAAGCAAGACATGAAATCATTTTTCAGATCTCATAGTGGATAACATGTTATCTTTTTCTATACCGTAATAATTCAACCCCTTAATTTTGGCACTTTGTATTTTATTTTACGGACAATATGAAAGAATACTAAACATATAACGTTGTGATCTATATTGTTTGAGCATAATAAATCATATTATTTTTGTAAAATTCTTACTGTCACTTTGTTTTTCATCCCAAGTTCAAATAAGTCTTATCCTTCTATATTTTTAGACATAATTTTTTTCTCTTTTTGTTCTTTGCCTATAATTATTGCATTATTTATTACTTAATATTGCTATACTATAATGTGATCTTTTATTAGCTTATAAATTGACTTAATTTCTTGCTTATGACCCTATTAATAATCATCAATGAATATAATTTTTTTATGCTTAAAATTTAATGTATTCTTACACTATTATTCTCTTACTCGGAACTCTTTCACCATTCAAATTTATCAATAATATTTTTGATTATTATATAATAATTTAATTCATATATTTTAAATAAATTTAAAATATAAGTGTAATCGCACTATCTATATTTTCCTCTTTATACATTCTCTTCCCTACTAAGAAATTTTAATTAGCTTTTTACACAAATATTTTTGGCCAATACTCATATAATATCGCGTTTTATTTAAAAAAATTAATTTTTAATTGTCTAAAAAGTAATACATAAGTTCTTTTATTGTTTCAAATCTATTGAATTTTTTTATAACTATTTTTTGTATAACATGCAATTAAATTTTCTTTCTCTTTAGTTTAAAAAAAAATTATCTTGTAATTTTCATTAGTAAAATTACCAACATGAGATATTTATTTAGTATATGAAAATTTTAATTTGGTATCAAATTCTTATTTTTCTTTATCTAGCAAAACTTGAATTTTATGATCATTTCATATTTTAAGCGTTCTCATCATATCCTTAAGAACTTTCTAATGTCAAGCTCAGATAGTCTTTTCCTTAGTTTTTCTTACTTTTGCTATAATGTTATCTAATATGTAATATTATCATGTTTTCATGTAATTTTTTCTTTAACTTTACACTTTATTTAATATTCTTGTCCAATTACTATTTTTTAAATATAATATAGATACATATGTAACTATTTGATATTAAATTAAATATTTGTTTTATTTTTAAACTATTGCTTGGAAATTTAAATTATTTAAATTTATCAATAATATGTTTAAGTATTGTTTATCGAATTGAGATTTTTCGACTGCCGCTGCGATTGCTATATTCCGGCGAACGAACTTCTCAATTCCTTTTTTTAACTACGGCGACGACTGCTCTTCCGTCACTTTTTCTTGTTTTTATACCTTTTCGGTGAAATTGACTTTCCGGTGAAATTGACTTTCCGGTGAAATTGACAAATCGCCGAAACTTTTCTATACACGGGGTCGGGAGGCAGCATCATTCAACGGATTTGGAAGCGCGTCCTGACTTCCCCGACTGTGATCCAGGTTCCATCTTTCTTGAATTGTATTTGCGCACATCTATTTACTGTTGCCTTGCCGGCAATTTTAATTGGATTGATTGCTTTTTCTATCATTTCTACTAGTGTTTTAAGATTAAGGTTTCATCTATCCATTTTAATTCTATGTTTGCATAGGGGTAGTTTCTTAGACGTGGTAGATTCATTGTTCTAGTGCATGCTCGTGTTATTGTCCTCGTAGTAGCTCTTTTGAGTTATTTTTAGCTCTCGGGTTCGTAGCTTGTAGTCCTTCGTTCCCGCTACTTGTTCTTTATGGTAGTGTTTACCTAATACCTTTTGCTTATAGTGGCNGAGGAAGATCAACATAGCGTGTGTTCAGGAGACTAGATGGAAGGGTACTAGGGCACGAGATGTATACGGGTTTAAACTATAGTACTCAGGAAGCGCTGGGGGTAAAAATGGGGTAGGTATTTTAGTTGACAGGGACCTCAAGGAGCTTGTGGTCGAGGTTAGGATGGTAAATGATATGTTGATGAGTATTAAGCTGGTAGTTAGTGTGTTTACTGTAAACGCGATTAGTGCATACGCTCCTCTTGTAGGTTTGGACCAAGAGACCAAGAAGCAATTCTAGGAGGATTTGGACGAGATGGTGCGTATTATCCCGCACACAGAGAAGTTGTTCATTGGCGGAGATTTCTATGGTCATATTGGGGCTAGTGCTAGGGGTTATGATGATGTGCATGGCGGGTTCGGTTTTAGGGATAGGAATGAGGGAGGTAATTCACTGTTGGATTTTGCTAGAGCTTTTGATTTGGTTATAGCTAACTTGGGTTTTCCGAAGAGGGAAAAGCACCTGGTCACTTTCGGGAATTCAATGGGCAAGACTCAGATTGATTATCTTCTCTGCAGAAAATACGATAAAGGTCTGTGTACTGACTACAAGGTCATCCCAAGTGAGTACCTCACGACCCTACATAGGCTCCTAGTTATGGACCTGGAGATCAAGAGGAGTAGGAGAAAGAGGGCGGGGTGCAGGCAACGTAAGATCAAGTGAGGTAACTTGACCAAGGACAAAGCTCAAGAGTTAGGGGAGAATTTGTTGGCTATGAGGGCCTGAATGAGTAGGGGGGACGCGTCTAGTATGTTGTTCCCGACTGCGAATTACATTATGGTAGCTGATAGAGAGGTCTTAGGGGTGACGAAGGGCTCTACTGGAGGCCATAAAAAGGACTGGTGGTGGAATGAAGAGGTTCAAGGTAAAGTGGAAGCTAAGAAAGATTCTTATTTGAAGCTAGTGGAGAGTACAAACGAGAAGGAAAAAAGGACTTATCAGGAGTGTTATAGAAATGCAAAGAAAGAGGCGAAGTTAGCAATTACGACGGCTAAGAACGCGCGTTTGCTCGTTTGTACGAGGAGCTCGGGGGCGAAGGCGGGGACAAGAAGTTGTACCGGTTGGCCAAGGTAAGGGAGAGGAAAGCCTATGACTTAGACCAAGTCAAGTACATCAAGGACGAGGATGGAAAAGTGTTGATGGACGAGGTACTTATTAGGAGAAAATGGCAGACATACTTCCATAAACTATTGAACGAGGAGGGGGATAGACGCATTATGGTGGGTGAGTTGGAGCACTCCGAAAGTCGGCAGAAATTTAGGTACTGTAGGCGGATTATGGTAGAGGAGGTGGAAGGGGCGATGCGTAAGATGTGTAGGGCAGAACGATAGGGCCAGACAAAATCCCGGTGGAATTCTGGAAGAGCGCGGGGCGAGTAGGTTTGGAGTGGCTCATTGGGTTGTTTAATGTTATTTTTAAGACGAAGAAGATACCCGAAGAATGGAGGTAGAGTATGATGGTTCTGATTTACAAGAACAAGGGTGATATCCAAAATTACAATAATTATAGGGGCATCAAGTTGTTGAGTCACACTATGAAGGTTTGGGAGAGGGTGGTGGAGGCCAGGGTGAGGAGGTGCGTATCTATTTCCGAGAATTAGTTTGGATTCATGTCGGGGCGTTCGACTACGGAAGCGATTCATCTATTAAGGAGATTAGTGGAGCAGTACAGGGAGAGGAAGAAGGATTTGCATATGGTGTTTATTGACCTTGAGAAATCGTACGATAACGTCCCGAGGGAGGTCCCGTAGAGGTGTTTGGAGGTTAGAGGCGTTCCGATAGCGTACATTAGGGTGAATAAGGATATGTATGATGATGCTAAGACTCGGGTACGGACTGTGGGTGGTGACTCAGAGCATTTTCCTTTGGTGATGGGGTTGCACCAGGGATCGGCTCTTAGCCCATTTTTATTTTCCTTGGCGATGGATGTACTGTCGTGACACATTCAAGGGGAGGTGCCTTGGTGGATGCTATTTGCCGATGATATAGTGTTGATTGACGAGACGCGTAGCGGAGTTAACGCGAGGTTGGAGGTTTGGAGACCTTGGAATCTAAAGGTTTTAAACTGAGTAGAACCAAGACAGAATACTTGGAGTGCAAATTCAGTGACGGGACCCATGATGCACACGTAGAGGTTAAGCTTGATGCTCAAGTTATCCCCAAGAGAGCGAGTTTTAAGTATCTCTGATCTATTATCCAGGGTAACAGGGAGATTGACGAAGATGTCACACATCGCATCGGAGCGGGATGGATGAAGTGGAGGCTCGCTTCCAGTATTTTATGTGATAAGAATGTGCCGCCAAGACTTAAGGGTATGTTTTATTGAGTAGTGGTTGACCGGCTTTGCTGTATGGGGCTGAGTGTTGGCCAATCAATAACTCCCACGTGCAGAAGATAAAAGTAGCAGAGATGAGGATGTTGAGATGGATGTGTGGGTGTACCAGGAGAGATAAGATTAAGAATGAAGCTATCCGGGATAGAGTGGGAGTAGCCTCCGTGGAGAACAAGATGCAGGAGTCGAGGCTAAGATAGTTCGGACATGTTAAGAGAAGAAGAATTGATGCTCATGTCAGGAGGTGTGAGAGGTTGGCCATGGAGAGTTTGAGAAGAGGTCTAGGTAGGCCTAAGAAGTACTAGGGAGAGGTGATTAGACAGGACATGGCCCTGCTTCAGCTCACTGAGGACATGACCCTTGATAGGAGGGTGTGGAGGTCGAGAATTAAGGTAAAAGATTAGTGGGTAGTTTTTAGTTGTTCACCGATAGTCTTAGTAGTATGCATGTCCCTTCATATTCTTAGATTTTTATTACGTTATGTGATTTTGTTCGCCTCAGGTATTGTATTCCATGTTGCTATTATTTGGTACTACTTATCCTTTATATCTCCCTTTTTCTTTCCTCTTCCTTCTTTCTTCCTTCCTTGCTTTCCTCTTCTTCTTCTTACCCTTCCTGAGCCGAGGGTCTATTGAAAACAACCTCTCTACCTGCATTAGGTAGGAGTAAGGTTTGCGTACAAACTACCCTCCCCAGACCTCACCTGTTGGGATCATACTAGGTTTGTTGTTGTTGATGTTTAAGTATTGTATACTTGCTTTATTTTATTTTCTAAAGTAATTCTTAGTATAAAGATTGTCACATTATTTCTAATTTATTTTTATTATTTAATATTTTTAATTTTTTATTTTATCTATTAAACTTTAGTTATGTGGCCTTATCCACATGCATGCCATTTCTTATCATGCTTAAAAATAATTTTCACATCTCAAATTTAAATAAGTTTTAGCCTTCTTTTTTGTATGATGAATGTTTTGATTTTTTCTCTATTTGTTCCTTAGTTTTGCTATTATATTGTTCAATACTTGATTTTATTACAATGTCATGTGGCTTTTCATTAGCTTGTCTGAATTTAATATCTATTTTTATCATGTTAAGATTTGTTCTTATTAATTTTAAACTCTTTAATTATATAAAAAATATTTATTGCGTATAAAATGTTCATTTGCCCGATTTGTCAATTCTTATTATTCTTGTTATTAAAATAATTTTTACTGGCTATTTAATTTTTTTTCTTATCTTATAAATAATTTGTATATTTTATGTAAGATCTTATTTTTCCGCTTGAATGTTTTTTATTTTTAACGTCATTAAATCTTTAATATCTTAAGTAAAGTTTTGGTTTATTTGTATTGTAACTTACTCCCGAGTATAAGTAGTCATAGGTTATCTTTATTTATGTTTTTCTATATTTTTTTATTTTTTACCTCCATATTTCTAGCTAATATAGAAGAAAATCTATGAGTGGATCAATATATAAATATATATATACATATAAGTATAAATATAGATATATAGATTAGATTTATCTAAGCTCTATTTAGATTATGTATAAGATCTATTTCATTCAACTACTTCCATTAATTATGTTTCTATTTATAATTTTTAATTATTATTGTTGTCCTAAAATTATCAAGTGGCTTTATTTTAACTTGCCACTTGGCTTAACCACATGCTTCACCACCCTCCTTTTAATATAATATAGATTCTGTAATTATTATTGATTTTATAATCGTAAGATCAACACAAAATTTGACTAATCTTACGAGGAATGATGTACCAATGGAAATTATGGACTGGGAAAATAAAGCATTAAAATATAGATGGTTTTGCCGACGGAAAACATTAGAAATGTGAAAATATTAACCTCTAAACTTAAAAAATTATCGGCGAACTACAGTCGTCAAAATCTGACAAAAATGTCTTGCACCAAATTAAGTCCACCCCAAAAATCTCTCGGAAAGATTTTTAATAGAACAATTCGACGATAAATTAGAACATACTCTCTTCGTTCACTTTTAGTTGTTGTTGAACAAAATTACAGAGCAAGAACGACAAATTGTGTGTACCTTGTTACGTGTGTTCGGATATATACTATTAACCATGTGTTTGATTTAGATATAGTATTTATTATGAAATAAATATTTATTCAGTTTTAATAAAATTTTAAATAGATCACATATTAGTTAGTGTCCTTTGCTTATATAGTAGATGATATAGTGTCAGGACCCGGAATTTCCACCGTCGGGACCGTGATAGCGCCTAACATTCCACTTGCTAGGCAAGCCAACGTTAGAAGACTATTAGGCCAAACCTCATTCAATTCAACAATTAGCAGCAAATAAACTAAAGTGCAATACAGCGAGTGCGGAATAATATAATAAATTCATCATTTACTACTACTACTACTACTACCCAGATCTCGTGTCACAAATTCATGAACATTCTAGGATTTACTACAAGTAAAAGTCTGAAAGAAGTACAACTGTTTGAACGAAAGAAGCAGTAAACAGAAGAGATAGACTGGGACTTCAAGGTCTGTGAACGCCGACAGATCTACCATGAGTCTCCGATGGTCCGGTCCGAGCTGCTATGCCTCTCGATCAACTGGGACCAATACCAAAATCTACACAAAAGTGTGGTGTAGTATCAGTACAACCGACCCCATGTACTGGTAAGTGCCAAGCCTAACCTCGATGAAGTAGTGACGACGCTAAGACAAGACACCTACATAATAAACCTATGCAATTTAACAGTATATGTACAAATAAAGGCAAGTAAAAGATAGACAAATAATATCGGGAGGGGGACATGCTGAGGGAATTACAAGATAGAGAATTACAACAGTAAAGAAAACTTGATCAATCAATATACCTTCCACCAATAATAACAAGTAAACACAGTAAAGAAAAATGCACGGCATCATCCTTCGTACTTTTACTCTCAACCTCACCAGATAATTAATAGAAACGGCACGACATCACCCTTCATGCATTAACTCTCATAATATGGCACGACATCATCCTTTCGTACTTTTACTCTCTCATAACATGGTACATCATCACCCTTCGTGCATTAACACTCTCCCTTACGATAAATCAATGAACGAAAGAAAACAGGGAGATAGAAATAACAAGAACAAGTCTTACTTCAACATTTGGTTCCACAATACCAACTTCAACCTTGAAATCAATATTGAGTTATCACCAAAATATCCGTAAACATAATAAGAGCGATCAACTTGTTTATACTAGTCTAAACATGGATAACATGATCAAAGGAAAGCAACAATTACAAGAAACCAAGTCTCACCAACATAATTTACCCGACAACAACACATAGGTACTCGTCACCTCACCTATATGTTGCAGCCAACATCTAAACACGTAACAAACAGACAATTAAATCCTAATCCCTCAAGTTAATGTTAACCACGATACTTATCTTGCTCCGCGGTCAATTCAAAGCTATACCAGGGCCTTCCCCGTAGAATTTGATTCCAAACCACTCGTATCTATCCACAAGTAACTCAATAACATCAAATATTGCTAAAGAAATCAACTACAATGCATAAATTTAGATTTTCCAAACTTTTTTCCAAAAAGTAAAAAATCGACCCCGGGCTCGCTTGGTCAAAATCCGAGGTTCTGACGAAAATCCATTTACCATACACCCCCGAGCATGATTATATAATTTGTTTCGGAATCTGACCTCAATTCGAGGTCTAAATTCCAATTTTATAAAAATCTCTAATTCTACCCAAACCCACAATTTCCACCATGAAAACCCATAGATTTTAGGTTGAAATTCTTAAAATGTAATGGATAATTGAAAGAAAGTAGGTTAGAATCACTTACCAATAATTTGGGAAAGAAAATATCTTGGAAGAATCGTCTCTAGGCTTTCTAGCTTTTGAAAATATGAAAGAATGACCATAATCCCGTAATGGGACTGCTTAATAACTGGGCGACAGTGTTCATCGCGTTCGCGTGAACACTGTCGCATTCACGAAGAGCTGCCCCTAAATGGATTACTCGATCACGAGTTGTTCTACGCGTTCGCATAGGCTTATCCCCCCTAGCCTCCGCGTTCACGATACATGTATCGCGTTCGCATAGAACAACGGTTAACTCCCAGCCCACCTCCAATGACTCTACTTGTTCACTTGTAACGGGTCGCGTTCGCGTAGAGCAAACCCCCTAATGATCCTCGTTCACGACTATTGTCTCGCATTCGCGTAGTGTAAAATTCTCCCGCAACCCAGATCCCTTTGCCATAGTGAGGGTGGCTTTGCGATCGCGAAGCACAATGCACTAGAACAATAGTTGCAGCAAAATACCAGATTTTTCAAGTGCAAAACACCCCGTAGCCTATCCGAAACTCACCTGAGCCTTCGGGGCTCTAAACCAATCATGCACACAAGACCTACAACATCATACAAACTTGCTCGCGCGATCAAATCGCCAAAATAACACCTATAACTACGAATTGAACACCAATTCGAATGAATTTTTCAAGAAAGCTTTAAAACTTCTATTTGCACAATCGGACGTCTGAATCATGTCAAACTAACTCCGTTTCTCACCAAATTTTACAGACATATATTAAATATTATAATAGACATGTACCGGGCTCTGAAACCAAAATACGAACCCGATAACAATGAGACCAAACATTAACCAAATTCTTAAAACCATTAAATTTTCAGTCTTTCGATTTTCAACAAAAATTCATATCTCGAGCTAAGGACCTCGGAATTCAATTCCGGGCATACGCCCAAGTCCAAAATTATGATTCGGTCCCACCGGGACTATCAAAATATAAATCCAGGTCCGTTTACTCAAAATATTGACCGAAGTCAACTCAATTTAACTTTTAAGGCAAAAATTCTTGTTTTTATCAGTTTTTAACATATAAGCCTTCGGGAAAAAAAATACTCGGACTGCACACACAAATCGAGAAAGGCTAAATTAAGATATTTAAGGCTTCGAAATACGGAATTTAGTTCGAAAACATGAGATGACCTATCGGGTCATCACATATAGTGTATAGAGTTTAGCTTATACCCGAAAGATTAAATCATCAGTTCTTATAAGTATAAAGTTTGAGTTCACAATCTAATGATTGAATTGGACAAATGATCATGGATAATTGTAGAACAAGATTAATATAATTTATCTTGATTATGTGAATGGTTTAATTCCAACTTCTTGTGCTAGTACATTTTGTATGTATTGAACCGATCAAGTAGAGATAAGTATTTTATACTGACTTAATAAAATAAAAATTTTAGCCATTAAATGTACTTATACTCTAAATATTGATATAATTATTATTAGCTATGTATATTATTATTATTTTAATTTATTAAAAGGCGAGATCCTTTCGTAGGTCAATATGCCTTGTAAATTGGATAATAATAATGTACATTGGCGAAGTAATAGTTAGTTGATGGAATCTATGTCTCGGTATAGAGATTGATGATACACCTTTATGAAAGCTTATAAGTTTTCATGTGTAAACCCAGCCGGTGGATTTTGTATCCGACATATGAAATAAATTAAGCGAAAGTCTAAAGGAAATAATCAATAAATTAAAGCATCAGTAATTTAAATTAATTGATAACTATTTGAATCTTAACATGAGGAGTTAAATTAGATTTAATAGATGAATTTCAAAATTGACTAAGGAGTGCAATTTCGAATTTTTAGTGGAATAATTCGTAATTAATATGGTAGATATTAATTTCGAAAATTAAAAATTAATTTCATAATTGAATGCCTTGTTAATTAAATTCTGTGGTACCTGTTGTCATGACCCGGAATTCCCACCGTCGGGACCGCGATGACGCCTAACATTTCACTTGCTAGGCAAGCCAACATTAGAGGATTCTTAATGCCAACTTAGCCAATTTCAATAACAAGAACAATTAAACTAAACATAAGCTAAAACTGATTTGCAGAATAACATAAAACCCATAATATCTGCTACATTTAGGATCTGGAGTCACAACTCACGAGCTACTATGATTTACTACAAGCAGAGTCTGGAAGGAAATACGGTATTCTGAAGGAAAGGAAACAACAAAATAATAAGACTAAGAAGAGACTCCAGGGTCTGCGGACGCCAACAGATCTACCTTAGGTCTCCTGTCAAGCAATCCAGCTGCTAACCTCACAATCAACTAGGGCCAGTACCAAAATCTGCACAATAAGTGCAGAGTGTAGTATCAGTACAACTGACCCCATGTACTGGTAAGTGTCGAGCCTAACCTCGAAGAAGTAGTGACGAGGCTATGACAAGACACATACATAATAAACTTGTGCAGATAACAACATATGTACAGAGTAACAACAAATAAGAGCTAGACAAATAATATCGGGAGGGGGACATGCTGAGGGGGATACCAGATAAGAGAATCACAACAATAATGATAACTAGAACAACCAATATGCCTTGAACCAACAGAAACAATTAAACCCAATAAGAAAAAGTGCACGACATTACCCTTTGTGCTTTTACTCTTAAGCTCATCATATAAATCAATAGAAACGGCACGACATTACCCTTCGTGCATTAACTCTCATAACATGGCACGACATCACCCTTCATGCATTAACACTCACAATATGGCATGACATCACCCTTCGTGCATTAACACACACATACGGCACGGCATCACCCTTCGTGCATTAACACTCTCCCTTACCACATAACAATGAACAAGTAAAAATAGGGAGATAGGATCAATAAGTATAAGCCTTACTTCAACGATGGTCCCACAATACCAATCTCAACTCGGAATCCATAATCAATTATCACCAAAGCTCGTAAACATGATAAGAACGATCAATTTATTAATTAACTAGTTGAAGCATGGATAATATGATTAAGGAAAGCAACAATTACAAGAACAAGTCTCACCCGCATGCTATAACCCGACAACAATACGTAAGTACTCGTCACCTCACATATACGTTGTACCCAATATCTAAACATGTAGCAAATAGAAAAATAAGTCTCAATCCCTCAAGTCAAGGTTAACCACGACACTTACCTCGCTCCAACGACCAAACTCAAAGCTCAACCACGACTTTTCCTTTCAAACAAGCATCCTAAACAATAGAATCTAGCAAATTACCAACCAAACGATTCAAATTAAGCCTTAGGAACTACCCACGATTGTAAAGAATTCAATTTAGGTCATTATTGAAAACGTCAATAAAAGTCAACGCCCGGGGCCGCTTGGTCCAAACCCGAATTTCAGACCAAAATCCGATTACCCATTCACCCCCGAGCCCAGTTATGTAATTTGTTTTAGAATCCGACCTCAATTTGAGGTCTAAATCCCTATTTTTCAAAAATCCCTATTGCCCTATTACTCAATTTTGTTATCGGATAAACCGTTAATCCGTTAAAAATTTTTATATTTACACTTTTACCCATATGTATATAAAGTACTATTGAAATCCTAAATGGCTAAATCCCTAATTTCTAATTCTCAATTGAAGTATGCAGCCAGAGGGTGAGAACTGAGAATTCAACCAGTCATAACTATTCACTCATCTCTTCTAAGTCCTAAATCCCTAATCAAAATTTCTCTTAATCAGAATATGCTCGTGCTCATTACTCGTTACTTATCAGATTGGTCTCTCTCTTGAAGGCTGAAGCTTTTGGGCTTGGCTCTTCTCTCGACCAGAGCTTAGAAAAGCAGAATCCTTCAGCTTCAGGTAAGGTTTTTTTTATTCCCTTTGCCATGATAGCTATGCAGTCGCTTAAGATATCAACTTCTTCCATTGAATGAATTGTCAAGATAATGGCACGCCCTTTTTTCGCATCGTGTTATCGAATCCATACTAGTAGTCTATAAAGGTATCAGGAAAATAAAATGTTGAGCATAAATTATTTTTAGCATAAAAGTAAGAATTCTAATTACCACTACCTACTGGTTCATCCAAAATAACCAACTTTGGATCTCCAATAAGGGCTATAGCAACACTAAGTCGTCGTTTCGTTCCTCCATTGTAACTACAAGATCTCATTTTAGCTGCCACCTTTGTGATTTTTGACTTGGCTAATAGTTTCTCTACAACATGTTTTTGATATTCTATTTGGTTTAGCAAATAAACCTCCCTTTAACCGCCCGATAATTGTTAATCCGATACCAATCCGCCAGTTATCTTATTGGATGGCTAACAGATTACTACATTTATAATCCGATGACCGATAAGCCAAACCGTTAAGCGTAATTATCCGCCAGATCCGCCCGATAAGCACCCCTAACCAAAATACGAACCCGATATCCAAAAAGTCAATCATTGGACAAACATTTCAAACTCATTAAGCCTTTAATTTTCAAATTTTGACAAAGTCCGATAACTCGAGCTAAGGACTTCCAAATCGGATTTTGGGCATACGCCAAGTCCCAAATCATGATACGGACCCACCAGGACCGTCAAAACACGAATCCTGGTCCGTTTACTCAAAACGTTGACCGAAGTCAACTCAAATGAATTTTTTAGGCAAAATTATTATTTTCATCAATTTTTAACATAAAATCTTTTTGAAAACACGCCCGGACTGTGCACGTAAATCGAGGAGGGATAAAATGAGGTGTTTAAAGCTTAAAAACGCAAAATTGGGTTGTAAAACTTAAGATAACCTTTCGGGTCATCACATTCTCCACCTCTAAAACAAACGTTCGTCCTCGAACGGACATAGAAAAATACCTAGACTGGTGAAAAGGTGGGGATATCTACTCCGCATGTTCGACTCAGACTCCCAGGTAGCTGCTTCAACGGGCTGACCTCTCCACTGTACTCGAACTGAAGGACAACTCTTCGATCTCAACTGACGAACCTTTCGGTATAGAATAGCCACCGGCTCCTCCTCATAAGTCAAATCCTTGTCCAACTGGAAAGTGCTGAAATCTAACACGTGGGATGGATCGCCGTGATACTTTCGGAGCATGGACACATGGAACACCAGATGAACCACTGATAAATGAGGTGACAACGCGAGCCAGTAAGCCACCTCTCCCACTCACTCAAGAATCTCAAAAGGTCCGATATACCTAGGGCTCAACTTGCCCTTCTTTCTGAACCTCATCACACCCTTCATGGGTGATACCTAGAGCAACACTCTTTCTACGACCATGAATACAACATCATGAACTCTACGATCGTCATAACTCTTCTTCCTTGACTGAGCTATGCGAAGTCGATCCTGAATAATCTTGACCTTATCCAGGGCATCCTGTACCAAATATGTGCCCAATAACCGAGCCTCCCCCGGCTCGAACCATCCAACTGGCGATCGACACCGCCTACCATATAATGCCTCATAAGGAGCTATCTGAATGCTCAACTGATAACTGTTGTTGTAGGAAAACTTTGCAAGTGGAAAGACCTGATCCCATGAACCTCCGAAGTGTATAACACAAACGCGGGGCATATCCTCCAATATCTGAATAGTGCGCTCGGACAGTTCGTCCGTCAAATGTTGCGCTTATCTCAACCTGCGTGCCCAACTCACGCTGTACTGCCCTCCAGAAATGCGAGGTGAACTGCGTACCTCGATCATAAATGATAAACATGGGCACACCATGAAGACGGACGATCTCGCGGATGTAAATCTCTGCCAACCACTCTGAAGAGTAAGTAACTGCCACAAGAATGAAATGCGCTGACTTGGTTAACCCGTCCACAATAACCCATACTGCATCGAATTTCCTCTGAGTCTGTGGGATTCCAACAACGAAATCCATAGTGATAAACTCTCACTTCAAATCAGGAATCTCTAACTTTTGAAGCAAACCACCAGGTCTCTGATGCTCACACTTTACTTGCTAACAATTTAGACACCAAGACACATATGAGACTATATCTTTCTTCATTATCCTCCACCAATAATACTGCCGCAAGTCCTAATACATCTTAGCGGCGCCCAGATGAATAGAATCCCGGGAATTGTGGGCCTCCTCAAGAATCAACTCACAGGAAGTCCATCCACATTAAGCACACAAACTCAACCCTGCATCCTCAAAACTCCATCATCTCCAACAGTAACATTCTTGGCACCACCGTGCCTCACTGTTTCCCTAAGGACAAGCAAATGAGGGTCATCATACTGCCAATCTCTGATGCGCTCAAATAAAGAAAATCGAGCAACTATGCAAGCTAGAACACGACTGGGCTCAAAAATATCCAACCTCACGAACTGATTGGCCAAGGCCTGAACATCAAATGCAAGCGGTCTCTCACCGACTAGAATGTATGCAAGGCAGCCCATACTTGCTGACTTTCTACTCAAAGTATCGGCCACCACATTGGCCTTCCCAGGATGATACAAGATGGTGATATCATAATTTTTCAATAGCTCCAACCACCTCCTCTGCCTTAAATTGAGCTCCTTATGTTTGAACAAATACTGCAAGCTCTGATGATCTATGAATACCTCACACAACATGTTGTACAGATAGTTCCTCTAAATCTTCACCGCATGAACAATGGCTGCCAGCTCTAGGTCATGAACGGGGTAATTCTTCTCGTGAAGCTTCAGCTGCCGCGAAGCATATGCAATTACCTTGCCATCCTGCATCAATACCACACCAAGTCCAATACGAGATGCATCACAATATACCATATAAGATTCTGCATCTGTAGGGAACACCAACACCGGTGTCGTAGTCAAAGTAGTCTTGAGCTTCAGAAAGCTCGCCTCACACTCGTCTGACCATCTGAATGGGGCACCCTTCTGGGTCAACCTGGTTAACGGGGCTGCTATAGATGAGAACCCCTTCATAAACCGACGGTAATAACCCGTCAAACCTAAGAAACTCTGGATCTCTGTGGCTGAAGTAGGTCTAGGCCAGTTCTGAATTGTCTCAATCTTCTTAGGGTCTACCTGGATGCCCTCTGCTGATACAACGTACCCCAAGAAAGCGACTGAAACCTACCAAAACTTGCACGTTGAAAACTTAGCATATAGCTGACTGTCTCTGAGGGTCTGAAGTACGATTCGAAAATGCTGCTCGTGCTCTACTCGACTGCGGGAGTAGATCAAGATGTCATCAATAAACATAATCATGAAAGAATACAAATAAGGCTTGAACACCGGTTCATCAAATCCATGAATATTGCTGGGGCATTTGTCAGTTCAAATGACATCACTAGAAACTCATAATGCCCATATAGAGTCCGAAAGGCTGTCTTAGGGACATCGAATGCCCTAATCCTCAACTGATGGTAGCCCGACCTCAAATCGATCTTTGAAAACACCTTGTCACTCTGAAGCTGATCAAATAAGTCATCAATGCTCGGCACTGGATACTTGTTCTTGATAGTGACTTTGTTCAACTGTCGATAATCTATGCACATCCTCATAGACCCACCTTTATTCTTCACAAACAACATGGACGCACCCGCCTCAGGCCTGGCTTGAAAAGCATAGCATCAAGGCTGGCCCCCACCACTCTGAACTACATCTCTAGGACGGGCCCTAACTAGTTGGCCTTCACCTCTAACAGCCTGACCTCCACCTGTAATGGCTTAACCACCACTTCTGGCTGCCTGACCCCTACCTCTAGCTAGNCTGCCTGACCCCTACCTCTAGCTATCTGAGTGGGCGGTGAAGCACCCAGTGCCAGGACCATGGAATGAGAACCCTGATGCTGAGAACTACTCGATGCACGAGGGCAAAATCTAGTAAGGTGCCTCAGATCACCACAAGTATAACAGGACCTCGGCTGCTGCGGTTGTTGGCCCTGAAACTGACCTTGTCTACCGGAGTAACCACCCTGAAAACTTTGGAGCAGAGGTTCACTAATAGGAGCTGGTGGTGCACTGTAGGCTAGATGGTTGGAATAATGCATATGAGGGCAACGACTACCGGAAGCACCATGGGATACCTGAAGTGCTGAATGAAACGACCTGGGAGGATCGCCTCTACCAAAAGTACCCCGGCCTCCAGATGTGGCTCCACTAAATCCACCAGAGTGACGAGGCCTCTTATGACACCCCTGACCACTCCCCTGAGCTAGAACCATCTCGACTCGCCTGGCAACATTGGCAACCGTTTGGAAAGAAATTTCACTCCCAGTCTCCTTGGCCAT